ATCCATGTTCATTGTTCTGGCTGGTCCCCTCCCTCTGTTCCTTCACTTCTGACCCTTTCAAAGTAAGACAATTTTCTGCTCGAAATGCACATATATTATACCCTATACTGAATATTTTAGCAGGCGTAACACCCTTTTAAGAATTAACTTTATATAAATATTTTTAATTAATTGGTCGAGGAAAACTTAAGTATAGTTTTACTAGGAAATTATAATATTATTTCATTTCTATTCAAGGAATCACTATTTTCAAGCACAATTACTAAGGTATGCTGTTTACTAGATTAGAAAAATTCTAGAAGCCATTTTTAACCTTGTAGAGAGTGTATTATAATATTTTATGGAAATGAAATAGAGGTAGACTTCACTGAATCCTTAAAGTATATATATTAAATTCACCCGTCAAATTTGTATCATGTTCATATTCCTTCCTTCCCTTTCAAACAAGATCTTATCAGCATCGGACCTATGTATATATCATTTACTTTATACAAGAAGGAATCGATCATAAAATTTGTTTTGTATTTGTAACTCTCCTGATTGTTTTTGATATCATGACCACTCCCTTTTTGCCGATATATATATATAAACAATTACGAGCTCCTAAAATGTTTACAAATTCGTATCAAATCACTTCGATCAAATTGCATCGAATCATTGGCTGTTATAGGAAAAACCGCTTAAATAGCTTTTATAAATAATTAGAAATATTCAGATTACGATTGCTTATAAATTTACAGATAATTACTAATCTGGCAATTTGAACACAGTATAAAACATAGTATAACGATCGTTTTTACTCAACTGAATTTAGATTCAATGCTGAAATTCTAAAAATACATTAGCTGTTTTTTTCCAAATTGTTTGATGCTCGAGCGGGAGATAGCCCCGCTCAAGCACTACCCTCAGGGTATATGCTCTTCGATCAGCTGCAATAAGTAAACAGCTGCCTGTTATAGTTTCTGACTTGTCTTATTTATACAACGTAGCCGAAAATAAATTTGCACTTGTTGTTGATAGTAAATTAAAATGCACAACAGATTTATATGCACATGAAGATACCCCTCTCCGCACACCAACTTAAACCCCGCAAAGTATATAGCAAGCAGTTAAGACTCGAGCGCACAGTTTTGCGGGCGCATTGAGATTTTATGAGAGGCTTCCACGTGGAAACTTTATGCCACCTGGAGTCCACGGCAAAGTTTTTGGGAGAAGGCAGGGACGCTGCCGCTGCCGGCAAAGTTTAGCAAGCGCCGTAATAGGAAAAACAAAGCCAGCCGCAAAACTTGGACTTATCATTAAGGTGAAATATACATGCCCGGGAGGTTGTGATATGTGCGCCCAGAGGTATGCAACATTTTGTTACGGACAACCGCCCCGTGTGGCCAGTCTTTAGACAAGCGTGCCTTGCAGGAGCTGTCACGCAGGTTGGGCTCCGCGTGTGTGTGGGTGAGTGTGTGTGTGGTTACAGCCACAACACAAAGTGTCAATCAATCACGATGGCAGCGGGAGAGGTAGCGGATGTGGACGAAAGATTGGGTTCCATTTCGTTGATGCGTGTTCGGCTGCCGCTCGGTTGCACCAAATCGCCGTAATGTGCGGTGTTTGCTGCACTTAACGAGATGCCTACCGCACACAAACATACAAACACACGCACACACGCACACAACATTTTCCCCCGCCTCTGCTCTTCATTTCACTTGGCCACAGTGGTCAGTCTGTGCAATTTGTCCATCAATCATACGCCTCGATTTCGCATCTCAAAATTTAATTGACTTTGATTTTGTAAAGTTGACCACTGTTCATGTGTGTGTGTGTGTGTGTGTGTGTGTGTGTGTGTGTGTGTGTGTGTGTGTGTGTGTGTGTGGGTGTATATGTGCGAGTTTGTCTAATTTGCTTCGTTTTGCTGCTGATTGAGTGACAAATGTTTGATGTTTCGTGAAATTGAGTTGATGCTTTTGCTAAGTGCTGCGAGAATCGTCTACAAATTGCTCCATAAAATTGCATTTGTCATGCTTTTTATGCCATTTTGTTGTTGTTATTGTTGTTGTTGTTAATGCTTGGCTGTCAATGCTGTTAAAAGTTTTACAGTACGTATTTGAGTTTGGCTTACATCGATTACCAAACAGAACAAATACATTTTTAGTCTTTACCACAAATTGTTTTTGTTTGTACTCGAAAGTTTGACTTTTAAGTTGTGTATATTTTGAGAAGGCGTTTTTAATTTCCACAAAATGAAAACCAATTGTTTATATTTGGCAATTTGAGTTTCATACAAATTTAAACAAATTTTACTGTCAAAGAAATAGAAGTTTGCAAGTGCTTAGCCTCATTCTATATTAAACAAATGTCCTTGTTGGACTTTGATAAATGAAATGGAACAATGCCATGTTTACTCCTCACCTCGATTTTAACATTCTTGACAGTTTTAGCTATGTATTAAATGACGTGCTTGTATGTTAAAAATTGCCAAAAACTTCGCAATTTACTTTATAAATCACAAAAATACGTGCTGCGACATTTACAAATTTTCGACAATGTGAAATGAAAAATAAATGGATTACACGTTGAATATTACTATACTCTGCCATAGACAAAAAAAAGTATTAAATAATATTTCTTGTGTTACATTTATTTTGTATATACATTTTCTTTACTATGTTCTATTTGCCTCTGTGTCATTCAATATTAAATCTATTTTTTGTTGAATTTTCTAGTTTAAGTACATATTTACTGAAGATACCACAAAATGCATATAAAAGTTTCTAACAAAAACCGGATGCAGCTATAAATCGCCGTGGTCATTCAAAAACAAATAAAATACAATATGGAAACAAATAAAATGTTAATTAAATTTGGTTTGGGTAAATGCGCATGTATTTCAGTCCAAAAATGGGCTAAATTTCAACACTCACGCTTAAAAAAGATAAATAAGCCTAAAAAGTGAATAGAAGTGAGGCAAAGTTGTCTAATAAATGTATTTTTAAATGGATTTCAAGTTCGCAACAGTGACAAACAGGTAACAGCACAGAATTGAGCGTATTTATCAGCATGATTATGATAAATAGATTTGATTTTTGAAATTAACACCTAAGACAAAGCTGAAACTAAGACCGAGATTCTAAACGAGGCAAATCGCTAAAAATGCGGCAACGTGTCTAAAAAACCGAGGTGCCAAATAAACACCCCGCTCTAAGCTGGGCGAATCGCTAATTGGCAAACAGCGTTTCGACTAAGCAAATAGATTCGGAGCTGCGGCGTCTAGAAAAACTGGAGAAGCAGTGCGGGGCGGATGACAGGAGGCTTCTTATGGAATGGGTTTAATAATTAATGGGAAGCGATGCACACATTTTGGCCCCAAGTGAGCTCCAGGGGTTGAGGTATCGGGTTGCCCAAATCCGCGCTGCTTACCGTTAATAAATTATTCATAATTAGCTGCTGACTAAATGCTTAACTAAATCCTTGACTCGGAATCCAACTGTCTGTTTATTTTAGAACGCAGTCACAGTTGGCCAACAACGCGAATGCTGTTTATTTTTGGTTCAACAATATTAAAACTTGGTCATTAGAGAGCGTCGCATTTATTGTGATTTATGTGCGGCATTTGCTGCACGAGCCATGAAAATGGCAATTAACAATTTTTAACAGAAGGCATGTGGAAAGCGAGCAAATGTGCGGTTCGTATTAGATTTAGCGACTGGCACAGACTGCGAGAGCGACGGAAACAGAAGGGAACAAAAGTTTAGAACCTAGTGACTCCCAGCTAAATAAAACAAAGTAGTCACGGAAATCCGCGTAGAGACATATTTACATGGAACAACTCATGACAGTATATACGAGTTAAAAAAAAACATACTCTTAAAAGGTTACTTTTTCAGCTCTTTTAATTTTTGATAATTACGTGCTCGACTCGAAAAATCGGTAAATTGGAAGCGTTTGAAACGAAGAAACTGAAAGTTATTTAATTTAGCTATATCATAGTATACACATTATACAGTCTCTCAACAGATAAATAGACAGACAAAAAGACAGATAGAATGATATGCGTCGTTCCATTAAGATCAACTTGATTAAGAATATATGCCTTATGGGGTATAAGGGGTCGTCTTCTAACTGGATATCTTTATTTGCTTAATGTTATATTTTTTTAACAAAATCTGAATAGCTGTTACTGAGCTGTACTTTAAGTGTTGCGAATGCCTTGCGACTTGGATTTGAAATAAAAATACGTTTAAGATATATTTTTACCTAACGGTAGCCTATTCTTGTGCCTAAACGAATAAATAAAGAGCTTACAACAGAAATCAAATTACCGACGGATTTTAGCATTGCCCCATTTTGACAGTGTGTTACGAGAATATTCATGCGTATTCGCTCAAAGAAATTGTTGGTGCCCCACGGAACTTTGTCTAGTCGATGTCTACGCACACACTCAAACACACACACTCACACACACTCATATACACACACAGTTAACTGAAGGCAGTGTAAAGGCAAAAGTCGCCTATTCTGGGGAGATGAGCAACCGTGGCAACAACAAAAATACAACAACAACAAGAAGAACAGCAACAACTTTATATTTATGTAAATATTTAGCAAATGCAAACAACACAGCCGGACGGACACTTCAGTTCAGGTGTTGTCGCTGAGTCTTGGTCTGCGGGTGAGGCACGTGTATGAATATTTAAGGCAAGCACTGTGTCAACTGGGCGGCAGCATCAAACTGCTGCCTGGGACGCGCGTCTAGACAAGCCTGAGTTCGAAACGGTTTTTTTGGTAAACTTGCAAGAGAAACTCACACAAACACACACACACACGCACACAGAGCGATACAGTCATACACACACACAGTCAGACATTTAGCACACGCGTTTTGGCAGACAGTCAAAAATTGTTGTGCGTGTTGTTTTTATATACATATATTAAAATTTACTTTTGCACTCTAGTATAAACACTTGTACACATTTATGACTTGTTATTTTTATTATTTGTATACTTACTCAGCAATGCTTTTAGATAACGGCCAGCGCTCCATGGAGGCCTGATATTTCATATTCTCGATTTGCTTCTTTAATGCGTCCCGATCCATGTTTTGTAGAGCACTGGGATCCATGGCGGCTAAAATTTATCCACATACCACCCCTGCAAAGCCAACAGAGAACAACAGTTAGCGAAATGTTACCCGATGCTATAAAAGCTGCAAAGCAGTACTCTCTCTCTCCCTCCTCCTCTCCCTCTCTCTCTCGCACTCTACATCAGCCCACCCCCTCACTCAGCCCAGCACGCTTAGCTTTACCCAGTGCTTGTTTGCAAGCTTTGTATTTGTTTATGCGGGGTTGGTTTAGGGGTTGCAGAAGGTTTGTTTTGGTTTGCCGAACACCCTGTATGTTTATGGCCGGTGTCTGGCGTTTACAGCTCAGCTGACGCCTGCGCGCAGTGTGCACAACGAATCAATAGAGAGAGCAAGAGAGAGAGTAAAATAATGAGAATGGAAGAGCGTGTGAGTTTTAACAGCGCCGCCTGAAAGTATGCTATAAAACGGTTCTTTGTCGTCGCTGTTAAACGGCCCAAAATACATTTGTTTACCTCCGTCTGGCCGGAGAGCAAAATATGCAGCCAAAAATAAAAGGGCGCGGCGCGCCCGAAAACTTAAAAAACGCCAAGCCAAAAGCGAAATTCACAAAAAACAGCTGAGCCAAGCACGCAGCTGCCCCACGCGCTGCTTGTCCCTCTCCTCCACAGTCCCTATTTCACTCTCACACCCCATCTTGCTCTCTCCCTCTCTCTCGCGAGCCTGCTTGACCGGCTTTCACGCCGTAATTTATGAAACTTTTGCTTTGTTTATTTAGTGAAGACGGATTTTATTTTCCTATTTTTGATTTTGTTAGCTCGCCTCGTCATAAATAAAAGCAGCGTGTCACATTTTTTTGGTCCCGAAATTCGGGGATGAGTGCGAAAAGTGAATAAAGGCGGTGAGAAAATGCTGCGTGTTGTAGGACAATTAATTTTTGTTAACAGCGAATTGTTTAACTAAGCGTATTTATTGCCGGTTTTTGCAGATAAATTAAATGGCATAAGACGCCGTCAGTGTAAAGGAAATTTGGGAGAAATATGGGTAAGCAAAAAATTGAAATAAATATATTAATCAATCTTTAGATATTTAAGGACATTGCTAAATATTTGCAGAACAAAATGACTTGCGTTGAACGGAGGACGGATTGAAGTATTATTCAATAATGTATTAATGCGAAGGCAAATATTTGTATGCTTTTTCTATGCTCACATTATATGACATTGGAAAAAAAATTAAAATTATCTGTTTATTCTACTTTAAATGTTCATACTTCTTGTTATAAAAATTACAATTATTACAAACAAACATATATGCATGCATATATTAATTAGGTGTAACTGAAAACATACAAAATATTATATGAAATAATTCACCAACCTTTTTTATTTTTATTTACTTTTACGCAAATATTTTAACATGGCAAAAATGTGTAAATCATTTATTTACTATCTCTAAGAAAGCTGAATGTTTTTCAAATAATAAAAGAAAGTTTATCAAATAAATTAAATAATAAAATATGATTTGTTAAATGAAATAACTTAGTTATTTGTTGAATTTTATTTTTGCTTAATTCTTTTCTACTTCCGAGTTAACGGAACTCTGTTAAGTAGCAGAACACGCACGACTAGCATTAACAGCCGCTGTTGCCCTTAGCGCGGACACAAACCCCCAGTAACAGAGCTGTTAATATTAGCTGTTAGGGTCACAATGATCGCATGCGATAGTTTCCCTACGAAATGCCACAAATTTTGATATTATAGACATCGTCAAAGCCGAATGACTGTCACATCATCATGAACTAATACCAAACTCAAATAAAACAGCCGCAACATAGGAGAGTAGACAATATTGAGGTTGTCGAATGGGCTGAGACCCTCAGTTTCTGCGGGTCTGACAGCGGACAGACAGCTGTAAACCGCAAGCAGAAGGTTGCTACTCAAAATGAGCTCCCAAAAGGTGGGGTCCGAACTTCGGCCTTAATCAACAGCATTGCTGTGAGTTGACTTCCTATGTCCAGTGAGCCAAACCGTCCTCCGCCCACCAGGCTCCAATCTGACACCAACGACCAAGACTGAAGCGGGGGGCGTGGACAATGATGCACAGCTGTCGCTTTTGTAGGTGTAACTGAAAATACAAAAGGGACGAGCCCGGCTAGTTGGCCAGCTTTTCCGTGTACTGCTGCTTCCCTTGGCCAAATGGCCAGCTCCATTCACAATGTATGCACATCATTTTTTGGTCGCTTCGCTGGACAGCTGACAGCGGTTGCCGCTCCACAGTGCTATGGACCTCCTGGCCAAGGATTTTAGGCTTTAAGCCAAGCTGCTGAGCAGCTGTGTTGCCTGCGGGCTGATGATTTTTTTTTTTTTTTGTTTTCTTCTCTTTTTCACATTACATCTGCTTTAAGCACTGGCCAAAGTGTTAATGGTGAAATTTGTTGTAAAAGCCCAGATTTAATGTTGGCTTGTGCCTCAACAGCATTTTGCGAGACTCCTCGCCCCGCTGACGCCCCCTGTTGCCGTTGTAAAAAATGTGTCCTGCCTGCTGTGCTTATATGCTGACAGCCCTGACCAGCAGCACTAAAAGCTTAAAGTTGGTTTAATTAAAAGTTTTACTGTAGGTTTCCCATTCGCTGCCTGTTACCACATGCCGTCCAGCAGTGTCCTTTTGATGTGTGAAGAAGTGAGCAAACAGAACAAGCTCTAATTGCCAGAAACTATTTGGGAATTATTGGGCCAAACGAAAAGTTCAGAAAATGCAAAAATTGGTTATAGATAGCAAGTGTCTGACTACATAATTGATGCGAGAAAAATTCGATATGGAAACTTTTCGTTTGTAAGATGCAAGATACTAATTATATTTTATCCGTCAAGCTCTACTTATATTAAGTTAATTTTAATAAAATAATTACGATTACACAAAATTTATTATGTGCATTTTTGCATTTCGTAATAATTTTATAGATGAAAAATTATATGGGCTGCCTGAGAAGGGCCCGCTTTGCCATTCAGGCATCTCCATATATTTTTATAGCACCCGGTTGCCTACTTTTGTGTTAAGGACATGTATAAGAAGTGGCTGCAATCTAGTTGGACCTCGGCTGAACGCAAGAGAAATCTAAACTAATTGCTTGCAGCAATTGCAGGCGTCTGCTTAGAGACGCCATCAGCTGACATGTGACCCGGAGAATAGGATGCGCCATTAAGCACAGACACAGCAGGAGCCGCAGGAGCTGCAGGAGCCGAGGATGTGGCACAGTGGCTGCAACTGAAAAAGTTGCAAAAATTTATCTTACAGCTTCGGGCGGAGAACATGCAACGGACATAAATCGTTAGCAAAATGTTTTTGGCGGTTACAAGCGGTGGTCCCCTCCACGGCTTCATTCCCCCTCCAAGCGGCCAAGCCCTATACCACACGGTCTGCAGTTTTCCTTGCGCCCTCCCTAAAAGCGCTTGAGTGTTTCGCGTGTGTGTCAACAGGCGCTCAAGTTTTTGACACCCGCCCCCTGTAACACAATCCTAAGTTCCCCCCCTCTAAAACGCATCCCTTTTCCCAGGCTCGTGGCTTCTCGTGCTCTGCAAGCGACAAGGACAACTGGGAAAAGTCAAGTGATTTTCTTTTTTGATTGTTGTTGGGGTCCTGTAGCTGTTGTTGCTGTTATTGTTCTCGCCAGTCCGACAACAAAAACAAATTGTCAACCGACAGCCGGCTGCTGTCAGGCAGTTAGTCAGCCATAGAAAATAAGCATATATTTGTTATATATATATATGGTATTTATGCACTCTAGTGTGCAGACGAGTCCGGCTTAGAAAAAATGTATATATTTTATTTGTTATCAAGTACCGAGTGTATATCAAACACTTTCCCAGCACTTGAAAATTGCTTTGTGCCTGGACACAATTTTCAGCATCATTTTGTGGTTTCATTTTATTTTCTCATCTTTCTGTGCACCCCAAAGGCGTCGTCTAAAATTGTTAATATAATTGGCATTAGCCAAAATGTGTCCAACTGGGGCAGCTTCTGAAGCATATAGAAGAAAAATAAAATGGCTTTGAGCCACAATTTTGGCTTGTTAGCTTAAGTATAAATGCGATAATATTCTTTCATTTTATTTTGTGTAAAGACTTTGATAAGGCTCTCAAAGTTAGCCGCAAGCTGCCTGTCAATTTCATAAATGCCAGGTATTGTATGGAAATTGCCAGCTTATGGCTATTCAACTTAAAATGTGCCTCTGGCAAAGAATTACATAGTGAAGTGAGAAGTAAAGCGAGAAGCAGAGCTACAAAAAACTCAATAAAAATAGGTTTAAAGTGCGTAGCGAAATCAATCAAGATGCATTGAGAAAAATAGCTAAAAAGGAGCAAAATAAATAGTAAAAACTGAATAATCAATGAAAAGCTATGCTAGAAAAAAGAAAAAGCAACACTAAGAACGGAACTTAAAGCTTTTGCGATTTTTTCAGTTGATGCGCATTTGGCGAAAAGAAAAGAGAAAAGCGAATTAAGAACCAAAGCTAATGCCTAGCGACAAGTTAAGACCAAAACAAAGTCAGGCACCGATTGAGAGGCAAAAATCAAAAGAAGATTTGTCGATCACAGCAAGAAAAAGGCGATTAAATGCTTATTTAACTCGCTTCAGAAGGCGGAAAAGAGTATATATATATATATATATCCTGCAGTTGTAGAGTTCCAAAAGTTTGCAGATAGATTAAGTAAGTCTTCCTCTAAAGTTAGACACTTTTAACGTTCTTTATGATTGCAATTTAAGAAGGGACTACACAATAAGCAAAAAGTATTTTTTAGTCATTTATGCTGTTATCACACTGCGAAGTCGGCAGAATTCGACTGCAACGTCGTTAATACAAGATATTTTATAGGTCCTCCCCATAGGTAAAGTGCGTTTTATTTTGACTTGGATTGGACTAATTAAGCAGATAATAAATTAACACAAACAAGTAAGAGGTTCTAGTCGGGAGCTCCCCACTAAGGGATACCCTAAACCCTCTTCTTCCAACATCAAATGCATATATATATTCTATTTTAGAAGCTATATGTCAAGTTTGGTGACTCTA